ATGACAGACACATCTATCACTGTCAAGGATCTTCTCGTTGGACAGACTCTAGACAGACTATATATTATTTGTTAAAATCCTTCGTGCCTTTGTTCTGCAGATATCAAACTTTCACTTTTTTCAAAAATTTGATATATTGAATTCTTTTTGAGTTACCAATAGTTACAAGATAGTTACCAACACAGGTAGTCACAGTCACAAGGGGTTCAAGCTTAAAGGTGAATGCCTAAAAAGTTTTATTTCAATCGGATAGTATAAAAAACAAAACAAAGACTCGTTAAAGGGACAGTGAAGAGCATTCAAAAATTGGGTTTGCAAGTATTATGACTTTAGACTAGTGAGTAAGGGTTGGCTATAATTATTCCGACTTCTCCATCGAAAGGCACTGACCTTGAAAATTAATAGCTGCCCCTACACGGAAAGGCCCGGCTTTCCGGACATGGCAGCAGCAGGCCAGGGCTTTCACCCAAATTACCAAAGCGGAAATATATCCGCGGACTTATAGTATTTTGGGTTAAAGGCCCGGGCCGCTGGATTCAGTCGAAGGCCAGGGCCTTCTAACAATGAATGACTAACTATACAAATTCAGATATTACTAAATAAAAATGTAAGGGTATTGATAATAATTTCCAAATATTAAATTTTATTTATTGTATCTATCTTTATAAATATATACCAAAATATTTATGAAAAAGAAAATCAAGATTTATTCACGATAAGATCCTTTTACAAAATCTTCAAAATTAATTAACTTTATACGTTTTAATACATTTACACATTTCATTTAAATTATATGAAAATAATTTAATTTTTTACATTTTAGAAAAAAATATAAATCATTACAAAATAATACCAATCTTTTTGTATTTTGCATTATTTTAAAGAGACGACAAAATACAAATTTAAACTGTTAGTACGAGAGAGACAAAATCCATATAACTTCTAGGCTAGACAAAGAGGAACTGGGTCTCGGGCTGACGTCACGCGCTATGATTGGTTGGGCTTAGGTGAGGTAACCTTTAGAGTATAATAACCTTGAATATTTCCTGCTATGCGTTCCAGTTGTACCAACTTATTTCTTTGTAAAATAAAATAAACTACTTTGAAATTAAAATGACAGACACATCTATCACTGTCAAGGATCTTCTCGTTGGACAGACTATATATTATTTGTTAAAATCCTTCGTGCCTTTGTTCTGCAGATATCAAACTTTCACTTTTTTCAAAAATTTGATATATTGAATTCTTTTGAGTTACCAATAGTTACAAGATAGTTACCAACACAGGTAGTCACAGTCACAAACAAGGGGTTCAAGCTTAAAGGTGAATGCCTAAAAGTTTTATTTCAATCGGATAGTATAAAAACAAAACAAAGACTCGTTAAAGGGTTAATTGAAGAGCATTCAAAAGAAAAATTGGGTTTTGCAAGTATTATGAGCTTTAGGACTAGTGAGAGTAAGGATGCGGCTGTAATTGTTGAAACCTCCATCGAAAGGCACTTGACCTTGAAAAATTAATAGCTGCCCCTACACGGAAAGAGGAAAATGAGGATACATCATAGAGAAATATAAAATAAAAGAGTTGTCATTTCCATAGTCAAAAGTAGGCAACACGTTTAACGAGGATCGATTGTAGCGCACCCTTGAGCCCTAACTGAACTAATTGAAATATGACAGACGTTATCGGTAAAATAGGTATCTGCATTGCCTACCACAAAAAAGGCGGGCTGTTTAAATGTGAATATAAAATTTTATGTATTTTTTAAAAATATTACGAAATTAAAACTGCAAAAAATATAATGAAAGTTTATTTTTAAAAACGGAATATTTGAAAAGTATAAACTATTGTACACTTTTCAAATGCTTACAGTTAAATGCTAAATTAAATTTGATAATATAAAACATATATGCTGAATTAACTTCGAGGGGTAAACTCCTGATGAATTTCTGTACACTAATGCCAAAGTAATGCCAAATAATTTAGTACTAATACCAATAATGCAAATCTTGTACACCACCAAAATACACCAGCGGTTTACCCTTCGATTTACCTATAGTATTATAAAACGTATTTAACAACGCCACTAACAAAGCATATAAGATCGCAGGGTTTGCAATCTATGCTATTATAACAGATAAAGATTTAAATAAGACATCAAAAATTAATTCACCTTTAAGTTGAATTTATAAACTCAGCAGTCAGCAGTTGAAGTTCAGTTGAGGTAGCAAATGTTCAACACTATTAAATGAAGGCGCAAATTTATAGTCAGTTCGTTTTACGTTCACAGAGTTCAGAGATGGGCAATGTCTTTACATATCGAACTTGCTTTGCATGATACCCTTTCCTGGATCGTGTTCAAATCACATCATCGGCTGAACAAAATATTACATGATGATGGCAAAACACAGCACAAAATATAAAGTTCAAATCATAGAGAAATATAAGGTCTCTGGTTCCTCGGGAAATAAAACTTCGTCCATAATTTCTGTAGCACAAACACAAAACAAACAAAGTTTATGCTACACAAAATAATAACAAAATTCCAAAATTCAAAACAAAATTGTAAACAATTGCAAAATACAAATAATTTGCTGTCATGTCACTTGTCATTCTTGTAATGACACGTGACAGGTAGCAGGTGGCGACGCTTTGGAGCCCTAACTGAACTATGCAACATTATGGCCAAGTTAGACAGCCTTTCAAACACTCTTTTATTTTAGTTACTTTATGGGATACATTAAATACGCAACCAACCGTCCAATCAGATGAAAGAGGTACGTACCCTATCGTTGGGTCACAGAATAGATATCAACCAGAAGCCTAACTTAGAGTTTGCGCGGGAAACATCGCCTAACCTAAAAATAGCGGTAGAACCTGTCAACGCACTGGCGTTCGCAGTTCACTTATGTTTTGCGTTTTGCTGAGAGCAGTAGCTGTTCGTCATTCGTAAATATTGAATATTGTAGTTTGTGTTGTTTTATAACTGAACGGAGCGAATAGTCTGGAATAGTTATTAAATATTTGTTGTGCTAGGTACATTATTTATAATAACTTCAAAGAGTACTGGTTCAGTTTGTGCCTCAAGAATGTGCAAAAGCCGGAGTTATGTTTCGCCAGGACGCAAAATGTTTTACGATACGTTTGTGGATATTTAATAAAAAAATGTTTGAGTATACATTCATGTGATATATGAACCAAATATGCAAAGGCACACAGTGAGTTAGATGATACATCGTTGTTTTGCCATTTACGTGCCTATATGAAAATAATAAAGAGTGAAAATAATAATTTAGATATTTTTGGCAATCTTCAGATGTCACATGACAATTTTGTATCTTTTGTTTCTTCATTAGAACTTGTTTTAGTAAATATTATGAAGAATATGGGACAAGACATTTTATTAAAGAAATATATATAATATGCAAACAAATTAATTTCAAACATCCATGTACTAGTTTTCCCCTAAAATATGTAACTAAATTATATCTGCTTATGAAATTGTATTATACATTAAAAAAGATAAACCTTAATTTTAAAACAGCCAATAAAAACAAACTAATTATATGGAGGCATGAATAAATACCTACATAAGTATTCTGATGTTAGCTTGTTTATTTATTTCGTTTGAAACTTAAATGAACACCTACCCTATCTTTACAGGATGTTTTAAAACGGGCCAATTGAAGGTAAGTATCTCAAGCGTCCTTATAAAGAACCCAAAGTTTTAAATTTCAACCAAATCTCTTCTTATATTAAAAAATCCGCCATATTGGATCCGCTAATTTGATTTTTTTTCTTCAAAAATATTATAAAAGTGTCACCGGAACTCAATACGTGTGCAACATTTCGGAAAAATTGGGATAATAGAAGTGATCAATAAAGCTGCTGCCAGATTTGCAACAAACAAAGGTATGGTAAAGTTAAATAAAATCGTTTAAAAATATAAACTATTTTTATACCGCGATATCTCTAATGGTTTACTAATGCAGTGTTTTTTATCGCTGGCAATAAGTTTTACATTAAAAATATTACTCCATAAAATATGTTGGGACATTTGTACTAAACCAATATTACAGCATCTTAAACAAATTAGCCTTTACTTTTAACTTTAACAAACTCACCTATTAAAGTTTTAAGCAGTAGTTTTATTAACTGCCGAATGATATTAATTAATTCTATACTTTTCAATTTACAACAAAAAAATAAATACAACTCTGTATACATTCAACGGAAATTTATTAAATACGTCTCTGTGTTCTACCGCTATTAAATGGCGGCCCAATTCGTGAAACGTCACGGATTTCAGCTCCAGTTAGATTTCTGGTTGATATCTATTCTTGTGGTTGGGTATTGTACAATCACGTGATGCTCATGTCGTATGACGGTTAAATCTTTGGTTAGATTTTTTGTTGTTGTTTTTACCTGTTTTTACAGTTTTTACTTTATTTTTCTATTTACATCAGATTTATATTTTGTAATTGCCTATCAGACAATACGTATTTAGAAAAATAATAAGAATTAGGATCGTGTTTTTTTTTAAATCCTGGATATTAATTGGAACCCTTGATAACATTACTGCTTTTGATATAAAAAAGTGCATTTTGATTATTTACTTGGGCTAGGATATTAAAATATCGGTTGGATTGTACGACATAAATAGATGTAGGTATGATTATTTATATATATGTATGTATTTATAAAGCTTACTATCTGTTTTGCATTTTCAGTTTTTGATCAGACATTTCATTTTATTTGTGAAATGCCCACAAAAAAGCTTCCCATGATTCAACATCAGTGTGTTTGCTGCATAATAGATCATTCCTGCTGAATTTTTAGATCATTTGAAGACTACACGGAAAAAACCAGATAATATGTTATATTTTCATAGAAATTGATAGCGAGACAGTTTTTTAGGCAAGTGTTAGCATTATTCGAGGCACCATCAAAGAAAGCAATAATTATATGCTTAGTCCCAGAGATATTACAGCTTAGTTATTTTGCCCTACAGGAGAAAAACCAGAGTAGTTCACTCGTAATTGCATTTTCTCGGCTTCAGTTAAAATGAATAAAGCTGGTTTTTCCTGTGGTCTTCATTTGAAATAACGTAAATAAATGTTTATACATATGTATGTGATGATTAAATTGGTGTTAAGGAAATAAAAATGTTTTTCGATATTAATATATACCTATATATGTATATTTATTTTGAAATAAATTACACTTTTAACAGTTTAATGGAGTTTTTGAAGCCAGTTATAATATTTATATTTTAAAAACTTGAAATCATGTGGATGTAATCACGCATTAAACCACAGACTAACTTATACAAGTCAAAAAGTAGATTTCAGTGTTAACTTTATATAACTTGTAAGTAAAATAATAAATAAAACAAATATGAAAAAACCAACAATTCTAATGTATATATTAAAATACAGAACAATAATAGGTATCTGATATCCTCACTTAACGTAGAATAATATTCTACCCAACTCAATACTATGTCCAACATGAGTTTCAAATATATCGGGCCCTAATTGTTCCTGAAAATAATATTTTTTTACATTGTTATACCTATACCATATTCTAAACTATTTAATATTTCAGTCACTTAAAAAGTTAATTTGTATTGAATAATTGTCTACCATTAAAGCAAATTTGGGCTACTATTTTTAATGGGCATATTCTGTGTATGGATATAGGTACTTCCTCCAGATTTTGGGTTCAACCAATTTATTCTTAAAACCTGAAACATCTACGTATAAAAAATAGACAGGTTACTAATTATAATAAAATTTACCCTTAGAATTATACTTCTTTAACAAATAATTTCCATTGGTATACTTTTCCATGACAAGTAATCAACTTCCTAACATTTTTTAATTGATGTAATACCACAGAATATACACCATGGTGTATATTTTGTGGTAATACTTCCTCATGATGCGAAAAGAAAATCTTTTCTTTAGCACACAAAGGACAAACAATATGTTGGCTTACTTTCAGATTAGTTACTTTTCCATAGATATCCTCATGTCAATTCAAAGACGATGAACATGAAAATGATCATCACATGAAACATCACAAACTAAAAACCTAATAAACAAGTTTATATCGAATATAGAAATAAATTTAGTGTTCTTACCTATTGTCGTCCAAATCCACGTTAATAGATAATTAATTTTTTTGGATTTTTATCTTTTATTTTTAAATATATCTTTCGAACTACTGGTTTTAGTAATTATTAAATTAAACGAACTTTAAAAAGTCAAAAATAATAAACAATTCACAGAATATACTAACGAAAAAGAAGCCCAAGTTCCTTGTAATAAATCGGTTCCATTTTCGTAACGCCATCTCTCGACATAGCTGACATTATAGGTTAGCCAAAGGGGTGCGGGGCCGGGGGGAATTGTAAAATACACTTTTTTATTTTAATTATTTTTATTTGCTTTATTTGTAATTTTATTTTTAAAACATATTATGTGAAACAATCACATAATATGTCTTAAAAATAAAATTATAAACGGAAACAAAAGGAATTAAATAATCTGAAAATTTACAAAGTTTATTGATAAAAAGTTAGGCTATGCAAATTGATAAGTATATTAAGTATAACCTCTTTGGTAAAACATTGTTAAACAAACATTAACAAAGTACTATTACATAAAAACAGGTGATACAATACTTCAAAATTAATTTTAACATAATATCAAAACCGAAAAATCAAACTGCAAACACAACCACACTTATCACAACAGAAATTAACACACACGTCCGCGGCAAATGTCCAAGAAAGACTGATCATATGCTGATCATTCTGATTGGTCCTGGTCCGGTCGTAGCTCACGTCGTATTGTCGGTAAGTAAAATCCCTGTCCAAAAATTTGACGATCAGCGCCATCATCCGTCATAATTGGGAAACTTTTGCTGGAACCATTTTTAATATTTCACTTACATGGCCCTGAAACAATTCTCTTGTCAATTGTCAATTTTCTCCAGGCACCGAACATTATCGATAACGCACGATCTACGACGATTACTCCTTTGATCTGATTGGACGGTTCAATGACGGTTGGTTGCGTATTTTAATGTAACGGAAAGGCCCGGCTTTCGGACATGGCCTTGAGGCCGGGGCTTTCACCCAAATTACCAAAGCGGAAATATATCCGCGGACTTATAGTATTTTGGGTTAAAGGCCCGGGCCCTTTCAAGTTCCAGTCCGAAGGCCGGGCCTTCTAGCCAGGGTTCGGAAGTAGTTAATTAAGACGTAATTTACCTGATTAACTACTTGTAGTTTTTCTTCAAAAACTACGTCTTTTCCCGTTCATTAACTACATGAAAACTACGTTAATAAACTATGTATTGATATTATGAATAATTTTCCTTTGTATGAGGTGTAATAGAGATAATATGATGTAAATATTATATTTAAAGCCATATTTCTCCTGTTTTCTTAAATACATTATGTGTTTTTAAAGCTTCAACTTATTATAACCTCACCTCAAACCTTTGATATTTGAAAGTTACATACATAGGTTACATAAACTACACCCTCTACATAAACTACATTAACTACATGTAATGTAGTTTATGTAGTTTTTAAAAGTAACATGTAGTTTTCCGAACCCTGCTTCTAGCTAATGAATGACCAATAGTCAGTTCGGCAATTTTCCTCAAGACAAAAACATCCAAATGGTGCTCAAGTTAAATAAAGCATGACACGATATATGCTAAAGCCTTTTTTTACTTTCTAATAATTTATAATAAAACTAAATGATTATTACTAGTTTTAATAAAAGTTTAAAAAATTGTCTTAGATACTTACTATATATGAATTTACAATTACCGAGTGTTAAAATTAAAATATTTCATTTATTATTTTCAAAATAAAATAGAATTCTTTAAAATAAAATATACAGGATGTCACAAGATTACAAAGTAATTAAAAAATAACTGCTAAGCTTTTTGTAAGTATTTCACCTGATATCATAATTTTTTCTATTTGGCCATAGTTTACAGTACGGTTTTTGCGTGTCATGTACGAATAATATCATAGTTTTATTATCTTGTATTTATTTATTAATTAATAAATTAAGTCGTTAATAAATAAAGAAATTTAACCATATGGTTGCTATATATTAGACCATTTGTTACGTTCTTAGATTTTAAGTCCCAAACATCGCTCCTGAGATTTTGTCCCGCTAGAATAATCATCCGTCGCACTGTGGAGCGAGGGTCCCTCCGTGACGTAAGCAGCCACGGCGACTAGACAGCGGCGATTTGTTTTTGATACAGTCTTTGTCTTTGATCCATGTGGCGATCCTCGTTTGTCAATAAACGCTCAACCTCGCACAACTTGGCTAACTGTGGGTAGTTAATTCGCTTCCAACCGGCCGGATAGCTCTGGCAGCTGTGGCCATTAAACCAATATTCATTATACTCCTAATTAACTTTCAAAAAGAAGACGAACGTCATATGTTATTTGAACTGTCATCTCCAATGGTCATCTCCGATTTTTTGTGATCATTTTCCTCATTTGATTTGATTTGATCATTATAGCTCTGATTATAGAAAAAAAGTTCAGATGTAGAAGAAACAATTTTTTACATATTTTTAATTTTGGGCATTGGGTAATTTCCATTTATATAAAGCATTTGATGTACATAGTACATATAACTTCAAAACTGATATAAAACTTGATAAAAATAACAAATATTAATTAATGTATTTGTTGAAGTTGTGACTCATTGAATTATTTGTAAATTTCTGGGTAAGAGTGATTATATTAGTGATACTGAAAAGTTTTCCACTGTGATCTAGATTAGTAAAAAATTAGATTGTTTTACATTTTATCCTTTTGGATTTTGAGAGTAATGAATCGAAATACGACTAATTATGGTTCGATTACGGATCCCGTTGTTGGCTTTAGCGGTACCAGTAATGATATCTTGAGAAATAGTTTATTTGATGATATTGTCACAAATGTTTTCACAATAAATTCAAGTATTAAAACTCTACAAGACGCCCTAAAAGCCATTGGAACATCTAGAGATAACACAGGATTAAGAAACACAATGTAAGACTATATTGCACATTTGTATACTACATACATAAGATTTTATATTTGTATAATTGGAGAGTAATGAAAATAATATCTTAAGTTAATATCACCTTTTTGTGGCCTAGCCTAATCTGGATTGTGTCTATTTTGTTTACATGAAGTTTTACAAGAAATCATCTTCTGTTTACTGAAATAAAAAATACTGAGATTTTTTGACAATTAGTTTAAGGAACGTTTAAGATTATTGGAATATTGATGCAAACTGTGTAGCGTCCACATATCTACCCATTTGTACCATACCCCTATTTGTGTATATAACACCATTATGATCGAAAAAAAGGGGTGAGCGATGGCTGATGAAGATTGCTGTCATTTTTTATGTTTGGTTTGGTTTGGTTATATAATGTATATAATAGTGTACAGGATGTCCCATTTTAGTTTAAATCATATGGTATCTCAGTTATTAGTAAAGATAGGAGGATGCGGTTTGTACAAACCTGTCCCACTTTTTTTTGTGAAACGGAAGATGCAGTAACGAAATTGTTATAGCCCTCTTTGTTTCTGAGCTACAGGTTCTTTTCAAAAATTTTGCAATTTGGAACACCCCCGGTATCTCCGTTATTGTGGATGATATTGAAAAGGTAAAAACTGAGTCTTGTAGAACTTTTTACATAGAATACATTGGCGTACCTAGTCTGTTTTTCTACCAAAAAATATTTTTGAAAATATGAATTAAAGTAATGTTTTCTTAAATGAAACACTCTGTATATTTATAAACAATGATCTGGCTTGCTATGAGCTTCTCAAAAATATAATCATTCTATATTTAATTTCACTATTTACTGCAATATTTAAAAGGTATCATTTTCTTTCAAAAAATCAAATGGTATTTACTAAAATAGTTATACACATATTAGAATTTTATTTGGTATTGAAATATTTTACTTTTGAACTGTTACCACTGAATCTCTGAATATATATTTCTTTTATTTTTTATAAAGGGATTTATACTAACAGGATGGGTTATGGGTTTGCAAATATCTAAAGCTGATAGCAAACCCCTGATAGCATTTTCCAGGCTATCGACATGGTTGTAGTTGCCACAATATATTTCATATTTTAAAAATCCCCAAATACACAAATTAAATGTATGGGTTCTATACCCCTTCTATCTTCACTAATATCGGAGATACTATATGATTTGAAACAAAATGGAACACCCTGTACAATATACAGGGTTGTTCACCACATACGACACGGAGTATTGTAGCTAAACGATTAGATTTTTACAAATTGTAAGTTTTGGGTTCGTTGAAGGACTATTAGAGCTACAATTTGAAAATATTTTTACAAGATACAGAGTGTCCCAAATAAGTAAAAAATATTATAGTTATACTTTTTTAAATGGAACACCCTGTATATTATTCTATTTTTGGATTCTACGTTTGAAATGAAGGTAAATTTAATTAAGGTTTATCACACTTAAACCTTACCGTTTTTGAAATATTTTTAATTTTATGAAATTGCAGTAAAAATTTTAAGACTTCATTTCTCCAAAGGTATCAAAGTTTTTAATACTAAATATTTACTGAAGATTACTTATTGATCAGATATTGTGTTGCAATAATAAAAATTTTACTACCTTATACAGAGTGTCCAAAAATTTATATTAAATAATTACTAGCTTTAAACGGCAATAACTTGTTTAATTTAAATGGAACACCCTATATATTTTAAGTGAATCAGATGCACAATGTAATTGTCTATCAAATTGTATTATACCATTTTTTAACCATCTCTTCAAGTTTTCGTAGAAGATGCATTTTCTTATAATTTAGACCTCATTTATCACTATATCCATGGAATATTGACATTTCAGATTTTTTTAAAGCAACATATATGTACAAAATGTATTGCAAGCTCATTGGTATACAAAAAAAAAACTATTTAAATCTTTGTGAAAGAGTATACCAATTAAATATTCCACCATTATTTCCGTTATAAATGTTTTAATTAATAAAGTATTCTAAATAAATGTGAATTTGGCTCAGAAATCAATATAATAATAGGTTATGAAAATAAACGTCTCTGTTTTTATAAATAAGCATTCGTCAAAAAATGAAATAAAATTTTTAGTGTTACTTTTTACCACACTGTCTAAAAGACACACAAAATTCAGTTTTTTAGTATTTGGAGCAATTATTATTAATCAACGTAAACTGTCAATTAATGTAGTTTGAATACTGGAATGATATTAATTGGTCATTTTGCAACAAACAATATTTAAACAGTTTTTTTTATTTTTTAATGAATTGAAAATTTGTTACATCTTTAAAAATAATCTAAAATGTCAATATTTCATGGATATAGTGATAAACGAGGTCTAAATTATAAGAAAATGCATTTTCTACGAAAACTTGAAGAGATGGGTAAAAAAATGGTATAATACAATTTGATAGACAATTACATTGTGCATCTGATTCACGTAAAATATATAGGGTGTTCCATTTAAATTAAACAAGTTATTGCCGTTTAAAGCTAGTAATTATTTAATATAAATTTTTGGACACTCTGTATAAGGTAGTAAAATTTTTATTATTGCAACACAATATCTGATCAATAAATAATCTTTAGTAAATATTTAGTATTAAAAACTTGGATACCCTTGGAGAAATGAAGCCTTAAAATTTTTCCTGCAATTTCATAAAATTGAAAATATTTAAAAAACGGTAGGGTCTAAGTGTGATAAACCTTAATCAAATTTACCTTTATTTCAATCGTAGAATCTAAAAATATAATAATATCAGGGTGTTCCATTTAAAATAATACAACAATAATATTTTTTACTTATTTGGGACACTCTGTATCTTGTAAAAGTATTTTTAAATTGTAGCTCTAATAGTCCTTCAAGGAACCCAGAACTTACAATTTGTAAAAATCTAATCGTTTAGCTACAATACTCCGTGTCGTATGTGGTGAACAACCCTGTATATTGCTCTAGAACAGGCATCTGTGATATCTTCTTTGTTAGAAACACTTCATTTCAGAGCGTTGCTCTACAATATCTGTCTAAATCATATACAGTCTAAATTCCAAAACTTGTTAAGTTTCATAATTTAAATGCGATCTCATTAGATCTAGTGTATTTCTTGTTATTTCCTGTAACTTCCTCTACTGCTTTATTTAGATGGATGAAGCTTTTATTAAACTAAAGAAAGATAATGTAGGGCATTATAATAACATACAATAATAATAATTATATAGTCTAGTTGGGTCGGAAATGACGATCGATGACATTTACCATATAAATTTTACATATAAAATGACAGCGATCTTCATTTCATAGCCATCGCTGACGCCGTTTTTTTTTTCGATCAAACATGTACTAGTTTTATTATTTTTTATAGACATGTTACTCAACTAAGTGCCAATCAAGTTGCTTCTGTTACAACAAAGGATATTAGCAAGTTAAAACAAAAAGTTCTAAAGAATGACAAGCCAACACAACTTCAACTTGAAAAATTGGAAGAAAATTTTAAGGAAGCAATTAGTAAATATCATTCATTACAAAAGGTATTGATATATAAATTGTATTTTATGTTACTATAAGTACTGTGGAGCCGTATCAGATACTGGCTTTTGTTAAAGTCCTGAGACTGTATGATGATTTATAACTCGTTATAACTCAAGAAAGTTATATAAAAATATACACAATAGATCTGTAAGATCACGGTGATTCTAACCAAACCAAACTCCCCTTCTAAACATTCTACATTCCATTATAAGCACAGCCAAATTTTATTAGAAATGCCCAGTGGTGGATACAGGGGGAGGGGGGGGGGGGGCGCATGGGGGGCTATGCCCCCCCTAAAATCTATAAATTGAGTTAAATATTAGTTTTTTTGTGTTAAAAATGGCTAAAAAGCATATAATACATATTCTCTTTATTTGGTTTGGCCCCCCTAAAATAAATTCCTGTATCCGCCCCTGGAAATGCCTATTGATGATATTTATTAGCTTACTTAGGGTTTTTCTTATTACCTATTCTGAACTGTCCTAGAACTGTCCTAGAAAATACGCATGCTTAAAAGGAAATATGAAGCAATTTTTCATTTGCGTATGTATGCCCTGCAGAGTTTCAGGACGGTTCAGAATAGGTAATAACAAAAGCCCGAAGAAAGCTATAGAGAAATCAATAAAAGTTTGCGTGCACGTCATCAAAGACGTTGAAACTATTACCAAATTAAATTTAATAAATAAATATTTGTATATATATCATTCTATATTTAATTTAGAGCGCACTTTTTAACTTTTTTTTTACTTTTTGAAGTGAAACTTCTTTACGCGCGCTGGGTGAGTAACATCCACATGTTTATCAAAAATATTGATATTTTAATACAAATTGAAAGTGAATCAAATTATTTTTAATAATTAGATACAATAGACTGTACAGGGTGGACCATTTTGGTTGTTTCTATAGGGTATCTAGGAAACCGTGAGAAATATCCAAATTTTGATACTGCAGTCTCGGGTTCTTTTTTTGAAAAAATTACAATGGCGCAAACGGATCGTGGCTATCTTGATCGGTTTCGAAGTTACAGGGGGATTCTCAAATTTTGTACTTTTTGAACATGTTCAATAGTTTGTTTATTTCAGCAACCACGGAAAAATGAATTATACACTCTAAAGGTACTTTTCTGTGTAGAATACAGTGGCGCAGTCAGACTTTTTTCGAAAAAAATATTTTTTGAGATATTAACTGTACTTAGGGTAGGTGGGGGTAAAGCCCTGCACGGGGCAAAGCCACGCACCGCGTTTTGAAATAGCGCGGGAATCATTTCGGGTTCGCCCGTCAGGCGGCGAGTTGGTTTTAATAACGTTCAGTGCGACAGAGAATTTGATGGTAGCCGGCAGATTGTGTACCGAGAAAATGAGGTTAGTTCATCTTTTGTAATTTTAATATAATAACTACGTCACTTTGTTCAAATATAGTGTGCATGTATTTAGAATATCTGGAAAAGGCGACTTCTCGGTTGACAGCATGTCACCAAGCTTTATTTTCGCGTGGTAATGTTTTCTTGAACGTGATTTTAAAAATGTTATATGAAAGATTTTTTCGAGAATACAAAATGGGGCAAAACGCCGCAGCCTTTTAGGGGCAAATCCCTGCAGTGCGGGTTTTGCCCCTGTTTGTTAAAACATGAATTATGCAGCTTTTAAATTATATTCTTTTCAGGAACTACAAAAGAAAAACTCAGTACATGCCTATGACCGAAGATCAACTCGCTGCGGCACGTACACTGATCGCGAGAGGTGTTTCTATCTGTCAGGCGGCCAAAGAAATCGAGTTTCATGAATCGACACTAAGGGATCGATTTCAGAAAGGGGGAGGAACTAAGCTTGGGAGATTTCGAGCCACATTTTCAGCAGAACAGGAAGCTCAGCTGTTAAACCACTGTATCGATCTGGATAAGCGATTTTTCGGCCTTACTTTAAAATCTTTGCGATTCCTTCTATTTAAATATGCCGAGGAGAATAACATTCCCCATCAGTTCTCGGTTGAAGCGCAACTTGCAGGGAGGGATTTTACACGAGCCTTTATGAAAAGAAACAAGTTATCTTTGCGTGTTCCCCGGAAGATGAGTGTTGCCCGAACAATGGGGTTTAACAGGATTCAGCTCACTCAATATTTTAACAACTTAGAGGCCATTATGAAGAAGTACAATTTTTCTCCCAACCAAATTTTCAATATGGATGAAACGGGGGTACAAACGGTCCCAAATATACTTCCAAAACACGTAGCCCCCACGGGAAAGAAGGAAGTCGCTAAGGCTGTAGCAGCGGAGCAAGGTCAAACAGTATCCGCCGTGTGTGCAGTGAGTCCTATAGGCTATTTTGTGCCCCTTTTTTATATACGCAAGAAAAGAGAAAATCGGCTTCTTATTAAAGGTGGTCCATTAGGATGCGAGATGGCTGTAACCGATAAAGGGTACATGAACACTCCCACTTTCATCAAATGGCTGAATCATTTCAAAAAGTATGCCAAACCAAGTGACAGCAACCCCATTTTATTAATACTTGACAATCATGTGTCACACACAAGCCTGGAAGCAGTTTCTTTCGCAAAATCAAACAATATTCACCTCCTTACTTTGCCACCTCACAGCAGCCACAAAACCCAGCCTCTTGACCGCTGTATATTTCGACCACTGAAGGCTTATTACGATGCTGCCGTAGATTCATGGGACGTTTCTCATCCAGGAGAAACCTTCAGCGTTTACAACGTTGCTGAATCATTCAAGATAGCTTTTGAAAAAGCAAGCTCGGTTGAAAACGCAGCTCAAGCTTTCAAAACTACTGGTATTTTTCCATTTAATGCCAATATATTTTCGGATGCTGATTTTTTGCCATCAGAAGTGACAGACCAGTCTCCAGGAGAAGATCTGGATGAGGATGATCGAATGGTATTATTTAATGAAGATAATGATGTACAAAAAGATGTGACTACAACTTCAGATCTTGCTGTTGGAACAGAGCAGCCTATGCAACAAGGCAACAATCATCCTGACATTGCAACACCTACGGTTGATACCGACCTTGTTCAGACTCCGCCAACAGCTCCTGCCGATATAATCCCTTTACCTAAAATAAAAATTAAAAGGAAACGTAAAGGAAAAGGGTTGAAGTCCGAGTTGCTTACGTCAACACCGAATAAGGAACGTTTGGAAAACGAAGCAGCTGAAAAAGAAAAGCAAGCTACTGAAAAGGAGCAACGTTCAATAGAAAAGCAAAAACGCGCTAAAGAAAACGCAACAAGGCAGCTCTTCTCGCCCTCCAACACAAAGAGAAGAAAGACAAATTCTAACGAAGATTCTTCTGACACGGACGCAGATTACTCGATTCATGACAGCAGCTCTGATGGTGATTTTATAGGTGATGATGATGGAAACGATCAAGTTGAAAGTTTTGAGCACTCACAGGATGAATCTGCATTGATGTTGCCAAATGACTATGCTGTAATTAAAGTGGATGGCAAAACAAAAAATTCTTTCAGACACTTTGTTGCCAAGATCGTTTCTATTTATCAAGATGGTTATGACGTAGTATTTTACAAGCGATTACCAAATACTTACAAATTTTCGGAAACAAATGAAGAGTCCTTCGTAGAAGTCAAGGATGTTGTTTTAAGATTGTCAAAACCTATTCTTAATCTCTCTGCTAGGTTTCACAATGTGCTTACTTTCAAAGAAGATTTAAGAAGTTTCCGTATGTTTTAATCAACTTGTTTACTTGTTCTTCATTGATCTTATTCTTTTAATAAAAAAAAGTTTTTTTTATGAAACTGTTTTATTATTCACCCACTTTATTCATCAATGGGGTAAACTCCCGCGCGCGGGGAATTGCCCAATTCGGTGGGGCAAAACCCTGCATTTTTGTTTTTTTATATAAACCTAAATTCTCCGTAACTGACAGACCGACGCCAGAATTTTCATTACTAGTCCAAAGATAAAATATGTGCGTAAGACTTCATGTAAAAACGACAAAAAAACTTTTCCCAGTTCCAAAAATTATGCAAAAGATAAATATTGCGGGGCTTTACCCCCACCTACCCTATGTTTTTTTTTAAATAGAACCCTCTGTATATTTTTAAATTTTCTTATTCAGCTTGGCATGGGCTTCTCGAAAATATATAACACTCTATATTTATTTTCACTATTAACCTCAACATTTCAAAATTTTCTTAAAATATCCACTTAGTGGATAGTAGGCCGCGCCGAGTAACAAAGTAAACGGTTATCATGGTGATCGGAACATACCTTTGATGGATGCGGAACATTTCATTTCAATAGATTGAAGTGTGTGTATTTTAAATAATAAAAAAATGAGTAAATTTGAAAATTTTGAGAAATATAATACGTTAAAATGTTATATTGAGTCTAACAAACATAAGCAAATGGCAGCTGGCAGCTGATTTATATTTTGAGCGGTATCCAGAGAGCCGAGCAACCAAAATCAGCCATTTTTAAAAGGTAAGAAGATAGTTAATCAATTTTGGATCTTTTCAAAAACCGGGCCTGAAAAATTATCAGAAAGAAGATGAATAAAATCAATGTCCTCGGAGCCGTAACACTAGATCCAACAAGTAAATCTATTGAAATGCTGTTAGAGGCGCGCGGCAGCGAGGCGTGCGGCGTGCGGTCGCAACTCTGTCTAGATAGTAATGGGCAGTAGTCTGAACATTTAATGTAGTCTTTGTGTTTTTATTTTTTTTATATTAACTGAGAAGCCCGATTGAAGTAAGCTCTTGAGTTTATATTAAAATATGTTTTTTTGTTTCTGTCACACTTATTTTTTATTTGCTTGGTATTGTTCTATTTTATTTAATTGTTAATTCACGTATTCGGCTCCGAGGACATTAATATATTGATTTTCTTCATCTTCTTTCTGATAATTTTTCAGGTTCGGTTTTTGAAAAGATCCAAAATTATCTATTATATAACTATCTTGCTAACTTTTAAAAATGGCTGGGTTTGGTTGCTCGGCTCTCTGGATACCGCTCAAAATATAAATCA